CTCTCTCTCTCTCTCTCTCTCTCTCTCTCTCTCTCTCGCGCGCGCGCACACACACACCCACAGCTGTGTCTAGTGCACTCATTTGCTGTTTGCTTCGGACTCCCTCTCCCCTGTCATCTCGGATGCATCCGAACTTCGCTTACTCTCGCCTAACGAAAACCTTGCAACTCTTGTACAACTACACTTGTGGTTTTAACGTGTTCCATGAACATGCGTCTCCTGTGCCACATGTCGACATGAAAAGAAAATTCGGTGCGATCATCCACACTCTCTCTGTCTCTCTCTGTGTCTCTGTCTCTGTCCCTGTCTCTGTCTCTGTTTCCCTCTCCATCTCTCTGACGCGCTCTTTCTATCTCTGTCAGCTCTGTCTAGATCGTAGCGAAGCGACTCACAGCCGAGACACTCCGGATGGATCAGAAATGTGGTGGATGATGGTACAATGTTTGTCTCTCTCTCTCTCTCTCTCTCTCTCTCTCTCTCTCTCTCTCTCTCTCTCTCTCTCTCAGTTTCGCAAAAGTTTCTTCTTGAATTGTGTCCCAAAAAGCACAGGGGAAGCTTCAAACTGAAGGGTCTGTACTAGTTCAACACTTCGGATACGTTCGTGACACGAAATGTTGTGGGTGACTATACGGTGCTCATAATCCATTTCTTGCGGGCTTCCTCTCTGTCGATCTCCTGTGATCTCGGATATATCCGAACTTCGCTTATCTGGGAAAATCACATTGCCTTGCTTCTCTTCTGCAACGATCGTCTGAAATGCTTTTAAAAGCAAGGCTGATGATCTCCGCGTGTGCTCGACCCTGCGCCGTCCGTGCGGCGTCTCGAGAAAATTAAGTACAGTCTCTTTGAGACACTCTGTCTCTCGCTCTTTTTGTCTCTCTCTCTCTTTTTCTATATCTCTCGCTCTTCAAATGTACACGACCATTTCTTGCGGACTTCCTCTGTCTGTCTATCTCCCGTGATCTCGGATACATCCGAGCTTCGCTTATCTTGGAGATTCACATTACCTTGCTGCTCTCCTACAACGATCGTCTGAAATGCTTTAAAAAACGAGGCTGATGGTCTACGCGAGTGCTCGACCCTGCGTCTCCTGAAAATTAAGTACAGTCTCTCTAAGACTCTCCGACTCTCCCTCTTTCTGTCTCTCTCTCTCTCTCTTTCTATCTCTCTCGCTCTATACATGTACACGATCATCGGTGCAAAACTCCAATTCATTATGGTCCTCATACTTCTAAATACATGTCATCCTACTCCTCTAAGTCTGTGAAGAGCCACAACTCGTTTTACTCACAAACTCGAGTTTGTGTCATTATACTGTTCTGATTTGGATGAGTGGGATGCTCAACTCCAAGTGAAACTATGACACAGTGTAATATATTACTCTGTTCTGGTGTTCCACATCTGGAAACAGGAGATATATGTACTGAGGCAGCAGTACATATAACACAGTGGTAGCAGATATATGTACTGACTCAGAGGCGTATAACACAGTGTATACTCTGTTGTGGTGTTCCACATCTGGACACATCCGAACCACGAGAAGAGCGCAACAGATATATGTACTGACTGTGCTCCTCGCCTCAAAGCTGCTTTACTCTTTGTTCGGATGTTTCCGGATCTGGAATACTACACCAGACTGTACACTGTGTCATAAATTCGTTTCAAAATAGTACATATAATAATGTACTATTTTAACGAATAACATGTTGGAAGCAGGGGCTATACGAACAGTACAACCATACCCAATCTCCCCTGCTCCACATAGAACTCCTTTAGGTATGCATCCAATCTTCTCTCCCCCCAACCACAAAAGAGCCGACCCCTACCCCGCCAAAATGAAGTCACTCTCGCTTCCCCCATCCTACTCCATATCCACAATACCAGGAATGTACGATGCATTACAGATTATATACTTGGCTAGCTCGCTCCATACAACAGCTACCCACAGCGATGGGTACGACTACCGCTACTGGCAAGCTTACGCAGCACTACGCTCGCGCAGATCCACCTGCCAAGTTCTCTCGTTGTGCCCCTCCTCCTCCTCTATCCTTCTTCACGGGTATGCAACCTTACAGCTGAGCCCATGCCTGAGTTTGGTGCGGCACTCGTACAGTGCCTTGTTCGCTGAGCTTGTGGGCAAGCTACCTGACTTCACGCTGCACGACATCACTATGAGCTATGGCGGCGACTGACTCACCAGCCGCACCAACCATGACCTCTTAGGTATGGACGCCTAATGAACTCCCCCCTAAGAAAACCCATGTTGCATTACCCTACACCCTCCCCCCMCCCCCTATACTAACAGGAGCCGATACTAAGTCAATCCCTCTGATGAGTTGCTATGGGTGCTAGGCGGCGAAAAGCGCGCTTAAGGGCGTGCACCCCCCCTACGGCTAGGTTCTCATACCCATTCCTAACCATTGCTACGTTAAACCTACTAACTCTAACCTTGCTAACCTGCTTCTTACTTAATCTATGCCTTGATGTATCTTGTACCTAGCCACTCCCATCCCCCTGCCTAACATTGGACGAAACTACAAGGTCTAAGTGTCCCATTCTGAATGGGATGGTCGTGTTTTACACACACACTCTACACATACACAGACACACACACATACACACACACACAGACGTGATACACACACGCACACACGGGGGCATACACACACATGCACAAACACATAGACACACCTACAGACACACACACACAGACACACACAGAGACACACACAGACATACTTATATATACACACACACACACATATACAGACACAAAGACAGACAGACATATAGACACACCTGCATGTGTATGTCCCTTAAGCTGTTGCTTTTACATCTGCGGTACACTATGCATCATCTCACACCAGCTCATCAATTCCCACCACCTTCCCCATCCTGATACGGCTGATTTATACGCTATCCGCCTACGATCACAATGCTAATATACACGCTCACTCTCAAATCCCATGTTATTAAGCCGCTAGTGAATACTCCACGAATACACAATGCACTTACCCATCAACCCCTGAACAATGCCCCCCACTCCACGAACAATACTCCTTACACTATGGTTACAATGCCCCATATAAAGTAGCCTGTAGTAAACAGATATACTCCTGCTATCTCCATCCCTTAGTAAATCCCTACCCCATTCCCTCCCCATAACAACATACTCTTATCTCCCTACTTCATACCCACTATACACCATGATAAACCCCGTGCATCCGAATGAATTTATGTTGTCGTCTTATAAATGATTATCTCAATTCTCGCGTCTGCTTGCGTATAGAGTACACATTAGTTGCTGCCCTGTTAA